CCCCAAAACCCCAAAACCCCAAAACCCCAAAACCCCGCCTCTGAAATATCATATTGAGATTTCAGGTTTCTACTGCAAGTAATTTTTATGCTAATTAAACAAATTTATATTAAACCACACAGATATGGGAAAGAGCAGTGGGTAAATTCAATTACGCTGTCAAATAGATATGCATTAGCCATCCCTAAGCATGCTGAGTAAGTCAACAACCTCTTGGCTCCCTTCTGGGCCCAACACTGTAGTTTTTATCCTCTCCAATAAACTTAATGAACGGGCTTTAGGAACCCTAAAATTCAGGCCAACTCAAGAGATAATGCTTTAATAGCCGAAGGAAAAAGATTGGAATTAAACAGTGGGACCTAAGGATTCTTGTGGTTTGTCTGCTGTTCTTCTAAATGCTAACTGTGCTAGCCTAATACTCTATTTTCCTTCCTTTTCCTTGGGTGTTTCAGAAGTTATCCACCATGCAAAATGTCAGGAAAATTCTTTGACTTCTAAAATAAAATTCTGAATTTTATTGTGTTTCTTACACAATATTTTCATTCTTAATGAATGCTACAGAGAATGCGATAATCTTGAGAGCCAGCAGATTCGATACTTACGAGCAGGTAAATTTGACAATTTTTAGAAACTGGGATTAACTTCCATACTGACAAATAACATCTTAGAACTTTTCAGAAATAAAATCTTTGGTCAGTAAGAAATGTAAGTTGGGTATTTGTTAAATCAGACTCAAGTCTGACGATTCTCAGGCTTTTTGATTCCTATTTGCACTCTGTCTTGAACAGGATAGGCTTCCCAAAAACCATTTCATGTATATAATTGTTAAAAAGGGGAGTTGCATCAATAATATTTTCAGATTTATATTAGTCATGCTCGCTGTAGGACAGGAGAAAGCTCAGGATGCAAACAACCCAGAGAAATACAGAAGGTAATCAAATATTTTCAGACAAATTCAATATGTCTGAACTTGACTTCTTCGTGAATTAAAACTTTATCATAAGATTTTTAAATTTTGGCTGACTTGCATTTCGCTTCCAGAGTTATTAGGATCAAAAAGAACATTCCAAAGGATGGGACCCACAAATGCTTAAAACCAAATGCTTCTATCAATAAGAAGCCTTTATGCATAATTTCCTTAGCAAGAATCCAAAGAATTTAGACATTAGTCGTTATAAGAAAATTTTCTGTAAATCTGGAAATGCAGCATGAAAATACCAACTTCACTGATAGAGTCCAAGACAGTTTCACCTAAAATAAACTTGGCACATTAGGTGCCGGACAGATAAACTTCAGAGGACCTCCTTCAAGAGGTAAGGCTGAGAGTTAATGCGAGATCTTGAATACAAGAGATCCACTGCAATCTACTAGATCAACTGTCATTTGCAGACAAAACGTAGCTAGAAGAGTACGGTTTCTAAAAAATAAGGGCAAAATAGGAGGATCTTTGCTAAAGCCAGCACTCACGATAGCGAGAAAGTTATTAAAAGGTATCGCTCACAGCCTCTCATACTAAAAGTGGTATATCATCAAGAGAAAGATTATGGGATAGCTGGCCGTTCTCCTTCGACTAGCATCAGCATCAACTCTAAGACTGAAGAAGTCTATTCCATTTTTAGCAGTAATCTGCTAAATTTTGAAAACAGGGTTCTAGGTAGCACAAGTGGAGGGAAGAGTCGGCCCAAAAGATACACTCAGAAGTTGCTCTTGGAATCTCTCAATGATTAACTTGTGACAAACAAGAGCATGCATAATTATTCATAAAAAAGGATGTTGCCACACATTTTTGTTACCGAGACTCCGGTGAAGAGGAAAATCAATGAATCAGCTCAAAGCAATGATGTAGAAGGAGATTTTGTACTACCTTTTGCATATGTGCCAACTCTGCCAAAGGGTTGAAAGGTGCCGTCATTGAACAATCTTAAGGAGGAATTTAACAAGGAATAAATACCATCAACAAGAAGATTTTCATAAACGTTCCACTTTTGTTGTCTCAATCAAGATATAACCTGACTACAGAGTCTAAATTGACTGAGGAGGTGCTCAAGGAAGGTTTGAACCACAAGCGTATGAGGCTAGAAGCATCTGTTGGTATGGCATCGTCTCATTATATGTAGGTAAAGACACACAGGAGTTATCCCAAGAAAGATTGGGTAACAACTCTAATCAGAATATCAGTGGGATGGGTTCATTCTTACAAAAATTTCAGACCAGTGATTACATGTAAGGGATCAACACTTCTAAGGCTCACTAAGCCAAGTAACAAACCTTCCAAGCACAAGGAGGAGAAGAAGAAAGTTGAAGATGTCCTTACAGTTGAAGAATTAGAGTCACTCAATAACAATCATTCTTCTAGAAGTAAATAAAGAGATCCACAATTATCACAAAGAACCCCGTCAAAGTAACCGGATCAAGGAGTCTCTCAGAAGAAAGGAAGAGGAGAAGAAGCGACTTGAAGAAGATCGTAAGACCAAAGAAGCAGAAGGTGCGAATAGAAGCAAGCTTTAGGCGTAATTAATTACGAAATGCATTATTTAGTCAAGGAATTCAACAAAATCAACAAAAGCTGTCTATGCAAAGAGTGTAATAAAGTGATCCAGCTACATGAAAATACCAAAGCTATTAGAAGGATGAAGTTCCATAATAAATGATTTGATAATTCTGCTTATAAGGTATATTTTACTCCCATTTATCACCCAGGATCTGAACTCTTAATCTTCGAAATCACTAAATCCCAAAGGAAGAGGTAGATCTAAAGGCACCTAAGCCCTCTGATCGCACCCAGGCTTCCTCTAAGCCCACTTCTACTCACCAGCGTGGCAAAAGACGTCCAAAGACAGTGAAAAATTCTCGGTAATACGTTCTATAACCCTTAGAGCCCAGGACCAAAATTCAACAAAATCCCCTGAAAAGACCACTGGTTCCAAAAAGACGCCGAACAGGTAAGCTTCAGTGCTGAAACTCTAGACATCCGACTCCATTCCCGCAGAAAGTACGGAAGGCCGTCCGCAAATAAGCTGTAGGCTTACTTAATTTATATAAGAATCTTACTTAAAAGTTTTGAATATCTAGCAGCCTAAATAGCAATTCTCACAATTTTCAAGGGAAAATTTGATATTTGGGGTTTTGGGGTTTTGGGGTTTTGGGG